GACCTATGGCAAAGTTATGGCATGTTAGGATACCTTTTATTTATGAATTCTCAAAAGAATGAAAATGCTACTGCCTTCTAAGAAGTGACTTAAAGGCACAAATACTTAGAAAGCAAAAATGAAAAACATAAATATCACAAACATTTCCTCTATATCTATTAGCAAACCACTAATGATTAAAATAAAATTTTACGCTTAGGAAGGCAGAAGCCCATATATATCGTAACAGGAGAACGCAAACAAAGGTTGTATTAATTAAATTGTTTTAAAGATACTGTGTAGCCTGGAGGAAAATAGTCATTGATTTCTTCAGCTAATCCTCAAATACATTCCTTATAGTTAGTTCCCCTTGCAGCTTGGTTTCTCTGGGCATGTGAGTGTCTCAGGAACACAAGAAGAGCCCTGACTAGAGTCAGCAGCTGTTCACAACAGGCTGCACCCAAGGATGAACCAGCACATTTTTTTCTTTCAGTTGGGCATAAAAAACCTTTTAATATAGTTGTCATTTTCCTAAAAATACAGGATGGTATTTGATGGAATAATGTGTATCCTGCCTCCCAAGGACCTATATAAAGTTGAACTAATCACTCACTAAAAAAGAAAGAAAATAAAGCCTCATGAAAACCAGAAGCCCAGCTATTAACAAGTCATTACATAACTGGAACATTTAGCTTATGAATTACTCTTTTCATTACAATGGGCCTCAAGCCACAGAGAAAGAACAAAAGCTAATCTAAGTTATGAGGCAATCACACAGTGGTACCTCAAGGACACACCACCAGGTTTTTTTGCTATCTTTCTGTCTCAATCCTCCACTTCCTTCTAGAAGGAGAGTTTGAATTAGTCCAGCCTTGTGGGAAGGCTGTTTTAGTTCAGACAAGAGGGCTGAATTGGTGATTGAGCATTATCATGGCAATCTAGAGCCCAGAGGGGCTCTCCTCCAGTCATGGTCCTCCCTGTCTCTTGGAGTCTTCTGATAGAGGGGACCTGGGCCAGACAGGAGCTTCTAAAGCAGATAATGACAGCTGATATGCTACGTGGTTATCAAATTCCATAGAAGTCTTGCTTCATTTCCCTCTCACAACAATTCTGCAAGATGGGCTGTGCAAGGACTATTATATCCATTTTACAGATGAGGAAAATGAAGCTCAGAGAAGTTTAATGATTGCGAAATTCATTTGGCTAGTTAGTAGCAGAGTTGAGACTCCAAACTCTAAGTTCTAGATCTCTTTCCATTCTTTGAGATTATAGATTTAGACCTGGATGGGACCTTAAAGGTCCTCTATGTTCAACCCCCTCACTTTATAGAGAAGGAGCTGAGGCCCAGAGAGATGTAGAGATTTGTCCAAGGTCACCTGGGTAGTGAGTGACAGTCAGAATTTAAACTACATCTATATCTTGATTGTATCTATACACACACATATATACATGACAAAGTCAGAATTTAAATTGGAGACATATAGTTTACGTATAGACACACAGTTTAAATTCTGTCTCATATAGTCATATATAAATTCTGACTTTGTCTTATATATGTGTGCGTGCCAGTAAGTGTCTCACACCTGGGAATGGCCCCCAGGTAAAAGTTAGCAAACACTTCTGTGTTAAAGAACATTTGATTTCAAGAGCAAGGAAAAAAAAATTCTACCGTCATCCTTAGGAGCACCCCTAAAAAGGGAACTGAGGGTGTGGCTTTATAGGACTTACATTGAGGAAAACAAGTCCATCTTTCCTATTGAGTGCGATGCTAGGCTGAGTGTCAGTTAGGCTCACATGACCTTGGGGGGGGGCAGGGGGAAATAGCTCATAATTGGAGTTGGCATTCAGTTGAAACCACAAACACTTAAGAAATAGAGGCACAAAGGAAACTGTTTTTCTGCAGACCTCCAGGAACACACAAAAACTAAGATGAGATGGTATATTATGCGGATATTCAAAGTCAGACAATAACATTTTATTTCTGGCACACTTGGATTTTAAAAGTCTAGTCAGTATTTAGACTAGAGCCAGTGAAAGCACCCCAAAGAGAAGCATTGTGCTGGGGATCGTGACAGGACTTTGGGCTTCATTATTTGGGAGATGAACTAAATGGAGATACAGTTACAAAGAATGCATTTAAGGAAATACATTTTGAACCACTGCCATAGCAACAGAGTTCCCAGCTTCTCATGCATGAGCTACTGTTCCCTCTGAACACAAAAATACATCGAGGAGGAACCAGGGCCTTGGGTTTGAATAGCTAATGGCCTTGGGTTCCTAGAAAGACCCAAAGGGAGAAAATAGTCCCAGCATCCCTAAAGGAAACAGCAATATATGAGAAGAAAAATGATGAACAGTTTGGAAAAAGGATCAAAGGAGAAGAAAATCTGGATCCCTAGTTAGTTTGGCAGATCTATATGGGGAGGGCAGTGAAAAGAACTTTGGGAGATCTTAGGAGGAATGGGGCATAGAAGTGCAAAGGCCACTTTGTTGAGTGGAAGCAAGCTCAACAGCCTAGCATCCTCCCTGTCCCCTAAGGAAAAAACTTCTTTGGGCACACACCTTCTCGCTTTGTACTTGTCCTCTACGTTTTGTTGGACTGAACTCTCACCTTTCCTGAAGTTTTTTTTTTCCCAATTAAAATCTAACATTTTCACCTCACCTTCCCCCATCCACTCATTTATGTCAATATATAGATGCAAATCATTCCTGGGATCATCTTTTAAAACTCAGCCCAAGACCTACCCTTGAATAGCTCCATTTGGCTCTGATCCACCTTTCAGACTGTATTCCTTCAGCACTCATGCACTTGAGTTATACTTTAATTAATCCGGCCCATCAATTATAGGAAGACCCTGTCATAAAGCACTTTGCCATATACCATAGATTTCAATATACTAAGGATCAAATTATGCCTCCTAAACACTGCATCTTTCAGTCTAATACCTAAAACCTGTTACTTTGGAGAGTTTCTCCTCTCTTAGCAATGTTAAAGGAACAAAATTATGGAATCTCAGAGTTAGAAGGGACTTGAGATGCCTTGTCTGACTTTACACATTGCAAGAAACCCTTAAGAGGTGTTAAACTCACAGGCAGCCTGTGATCCGGAGTGCACAAACCACATCAAAACTTAATTAGGAAATGTTGAACAAAATAGATAAAGATGTCATACAATA